ACATGAGCATTCTCGCCCTGGTAAGTTTGAAACTATTTTATTACATTTCATTAAATAGATCATTGTTAATCGTTTTGAATTTCCTTTAATTTAATTGATTTTTGTAAATTGTATTTGATTAATTTGATTAATAATTTAATTATTTTTATAAAGATGTTGTCATGTTTAATTCAATATGTGCTCTTTTAATCTGTTTCTATTTGGCAATGTTTGCCATATCTGGTCAACTTATAATGGGTATTATAAAGGTATGTAAATATAACAAAATTATTAATTGTATCTATTAAACATTTTATAAATATAATTATTTACAGAGACGTCATAATATGATGATACCTTGGTTGTTACTAAGTGCCATTGGCTTCGTTATAAATTGTATACGTTTTGCATTTCAACTGTATTATATCATGACTAGAGGATTTGACGCTGATGAAGTTTGTATCGACAGTTTGTTTTGGTTTATTGGGACTTGGTAAGATAAGAGGAAAATTATATATGTATATGTAAATACATATGTAAAATTATATATGTATATGTAAATCTAATTTATCTATCTTTGTAGGGTTTAATGCTTTAATAATTTGGTTTATTTATACTTTGTATAAGGCAATAGAAAAGGAGAATATTTTAAAGTCAACTGAAGGTAATCAGAATACTGCGTAATTAACATTAAATTGTTTAACTAAATTGTTTATGATTTTTGTCTAAATTACAATAAAAAATTCATGTTTTTCTATATCCATCATCGACGATGATGGATATCTATATCTTAGACGATGTAGACATGTTTGTCCATATGTCTGTTGATGTTATAATAAGATCTCTACGTTAGGAACTAAAGGTTTGTAATTTTCTGTTTACGTTTCCAGAAATACTATTGTAAAGTGTGGAAGTATTGGGCCCAACTTTTCCCTTCAGAAATTGACTATAACGCTCATAACTGACTAAAAACTGAAAGACTTGACACTCCACATTCCTCCTGACAGGTGGTAGGTTGTGTTGAACGAAGAATGTATAATACAGGAAAAATACACCTAGTCCACTATTGGCTCTATTTCGCGCCCCTTTTTATTGACAAAATTGGTGTAAATATCTTATATAGCGATTTATTAAGAATTAGCGTTCTGTATTTAGAAACCGAGAGTTTTACTGTCCTATTTCTAAGCTCCACATTCGTCTGAATCTGTTCGTTCATTGTTAAATAGTTGTGATCGTAATCATGCATGTTCACTTAGAATTCGTATTATCATACTAACCTCGGACTTGCTTATTTTGAGGAGACTTATCATACTCCTCTCGTAAGGTTCACCCCCATAGGATCTTTAATGTTCTACCCACCATTTTATTATATCAAGTGGCATTATGGGACTCATTCCTTCATGTTTTTAATTCAGTCCTCTTACCTTTATAACAAATAGATTCGCTCTTAGACTATTTCCGAGAGTTCGTTAAGGCGATTATTTCCGAGTGTTCGGTTAAGGTTAAGGCTCTCTTACAGAGTCTAATATAGTCTTAGATTTAACCTTATCACCTGATATCGCCCTAATTGTCTTTTGGCGGTAAATATGTTAAACCAGTTTACACATCTCCATATGATAACCAGTTTACACATCTCCTGCTGTGATTAGATGGGCCTCGATTTCGAAGTTTTTAATGTATTATCTACTAGTTTGGAGCCGTCCGTGTACAGAACAGATTCCTACAGTTATTTGCTGTAATGTTCCACTTGATCATTATATTCTATCCTCACGAAAAATTCTACCTTTGGTATGCCATCGTCCAGGTACGATGTTCCAGTATACATTGAAGACGTTTCCTATAACCGACTTTGGTCAATTCGCCTAAAGATCGCATCGATCATATTAATACTGTATACGTATTGCAGGACCATATGTTACCCCAAGCAAGTTATTTTCTAAACTACGGTGGCTGATTCCAAACCTATCCTTATAGAATATATCGGTGTGATGATAATTGTAGTTATAAAACTATACACGTTAGATATTATTTTATTATAACGGTATTTAAGGAAATTATTAACCGCAAACTATTTTTATTAATGAGTAATGGAAAGGTATGATCCTAATAAAGTTTTATTGGTTAAATGATTAGTCTACAATCAAGGTCTTATTCATATTTCTATACTTTCGAATACTTGATGAAAGCAGTCGACTAGTTTAAAGTTTCGAAAAAAAAAAGAACTAAAAACATAGCAAAACTCACTAAATGTCTATAAGATAATGAAGTGCTGTAGTCGTTCCACATTTGGAATTTATATTGGTTGCATTTATATACTATTCGACACAGTTGGTCTTATATTTTATTGGTATCTAGATGATGCGTTTGCGGCCAGTGAGTTAAAATTAAACACAACTTTATTTTTCCTTATTTCCTAAAGAAATAAAATTTTTAGGATTCATATTTTCCATAATATATATATTATTGGTCTGTAATTCTAGTTTTTTAATAGTGGGCATTGTAAAGGTAAGAATCTTTTTTTTTTTCAAATAACATAAAGTTGTAAGGTTTATTAATTATTCACACTTTCTTTTAATAAAGAAACGTTACAAATTGATACAACCCTGGTTGATACTATATGGACTTATACTCACTGTCATGTGTTTATATTTCTTACATAGTATTACATTATCTACATGTGCACTAATGTACATGTTGGCTTTATTGGTCATAGGTAAGATTTTATGAATCATATACATACATACGTAAATTTTCGATTTATTATAATTTATATTTGCAGGACTTTTTGGTCTAACATTGGGGCGCATCTACAATTTGTATCGTGATATACGCATTCAAAATATTGAAAACACTTGTAAAGGACAACGAATAGCTAAAGAATGCACAATAGAGTTAATTGTGTAAAATCGGTTAATTTATCTTTTTATATTCTTGTTAGACACTTCTAAGAGCTTTTAGAGATTCTGTTTAGAATCCATCAAATAACAGATATTTATTTCTTTAACTAAAAATATATTTTTATGAAATTTTTATGTCGATGATTTCATACAAAATAAGTACAACTTGAAGATTCGATAAATTTGGATTTCTATGTTATATTTTCCAAATTTTTTCTAAATATAGACAAGTAAGTAATAAAAATTAATTTTATTTATCAATATTTAAAAAATTTCAACTCAAACGAACACTAACGTCTCAAGTCAAAATTTTACGTTTTAAAATAACGCAATTAATGTCAGGATTGAAGATTTTCCTATACTACTACTATAAATTTATTTTTTTCTTTTTACTCTCTAAGTCAAAGTTTATCATCGAAGCGTATACTTAGTATATGTAATATATTAATAAATCATTAACACGTATACGTACAGGTGTCGTTAATAAAAGCAGTGCAATTTCACAATGCAAAACATTTTACTTGAAATGAAAAAATGAGAATAACGTTTTTCTGATTTATATGTTCACAATTTGTATTCTTTATAAAACGAGCTACAACTTTGCCTCAGAGTGTTGAAATTCCGAACTGTTGGCAAGCTGTAAGCCTGAGCAATTACTCCCTTTATTCAACCATAAAAAAGTTAATGACCATAGGTCTAGTCTATAGTATAGTCTATAGTATAGTCTATAGTCTAGTCTAGTCTAATCTATAGCCTAGTCTAGTCTTCTCTTGTCTAGTCTAGTCTAGTCTATAGTCTATAGTCTATAGTCTATAGTCTATAGTCTATAGTCTATAGTCCATAGTCTATAGTCTATAGTCTATAGTCTATAGTCTATAGTCTATAGTCCATAGTCTATAGTCTATGGTCTATAGTATAGTCTATAGTCTATGGTCTATAGTCTAGTCTAGTCTAGTCTAGTCTAGTCTAGTCTATAGTCTGGTCTAGTCTAATCTATAGTCTAGTCTGGTCTAGTCTAGTCTAGTCTAATCTAATATATAGTCTAGTCTAATATATAGTCTAGTCTAGTCTAATCTATAGTCTAGTCTAGTCTAGTCTAGTCTAGTCTAGTCTAGTCTAGTCTAGTCTGGTCTGGTCTAGTCTGGTCTGGTCTGGTCTGGTCTGGTCTGGTCTGGTCTGGTCTGGTCTATAGTCTAGTCTATAGTCTAGTCTATAGTCTAGTCTATAGTCTAGTCTATAGTCTAGTCTATAGTCTAGTCTATAGTCTAGTCTATAGTCTAGTCTATAGTCTAGTCTATAGTCTAGTCTATAGTCTAGTCTATAGTCTAGTCTATAGTCTAGTCTATAGTCAGTCTAGTCTAGTATATAGTCTAGCTATAGTCTAGTCTATAGTCTAGTCTATAGTCTAGTCTATAGTCTAGTCTATAGTCTAGTCTATAGTCTAGTCTATAGTCTAGTCTATAGTCTAGTCTATAGTCTAGTCTATAGTCTAGTTCTAGTAGTCGGTAGTCTATAGTCTAGTCTATAGTCTAGTCTATAGTCTAGTCTATAGTCTAGTCCTATAGTCTAGTCTATAGTCTAGTCTATAGTCTAGTCTAGCTAGGCTATAGTCTAGTCCTATAGTCTAGTCTATAGTCTAGTCTATAGTCTAGTCTATAGTCTAGTCTATAGTCTAGTCTATAGTCTAGTCTATAGTCTAGTCTATAGTCTATAGTCTAGTCTATAGTCTAGTCTATAGTCTAGTCTATAGTCTAGTCTATAGTCTAGTCTATAGTCTAGTCTATAGTCTAGTCTATGGTCTAGTCTATAGTCTCGTCTATAGTCTAGTCTATAGTCTCGTCTATAGTCTAGTCTATAGTCTAGTCTATACTCTAGTCTATAGTCTAGTCTATACTCTAGTCTATAGTCTAGTCTATAGTCTAGTCTATAGTCTAGTCTATAGTCTAGTCTATAGTCTAGTCTATAGTCTATTTATCGTGAAATGATAATGTGATATTGTAACAATGAACGATATAAAAATAAAAATATATTTCCTTAGTGGTCATAAAAACTTCATACCACTATTTATTTTCCATTCTGATGATTAATATAAAGAAATATAAATATATTTGGCTGATCAGTTGTCGTTCAATTGCTTAATAACTTAAATCAGAAATTTATCTGACTTGTCGTATTTATTTAACATATTTCTTTACAAAATCATATAATAATGGAGTGTAATCGTTCGACAATTGGCATCATCATAGGCTTTCTACATATTATTGTCTATATTGGAATTCTTTTATGTTCTATGGTTTACAATAAGTGCGGTAAATAATTTTTTTTCTTTTGGTTTTTCACATGTCGAATAGTAGTTCTTTATAGGTCCACCCACACTTTTTATATAAAAAACTAAATCACTATTTTTTAATGTAAAAAGTGTTTTTATAGAAAAAGTGCATTCTTTCTATAGAAAAGGAGTGTTCTTCTATTCTATTGATAAAGTGTCTTCCTTTCCGTACGAAAAGTGTCTACCTTTTTTCTGTTTCTACTAAAGTGTTTTCTTTTCAGTCTTAATTTTTTATACAAAAAATGCATTTAGTTAAAAAAAATGGATCTTCTATTTGCTAAAGAAAAACGTTCTACTTTTTCTATAGAAAATTTGCGTTTTCTTTAGAAAAAGTGTCTACTTTTCTTAAAGGAAAAATATCTCCTTTGTTTTCTTTAATTTCTTTTCTTCTAGGCTCATTTTATGGTTCATCTTTTGGTTTAAGACTGGGTTCTATAATAATGATCGTTATAAGTGGTCTACTTATATGGGGTATTCAAAAGGTATGTATATTAACCCATTTAAATAATTAAGAAAAGTTTTAAAGAACTTTATTTTATTTTGTCAATAGAAACAGAAAACTCTTATGCTTCCCTGGCTGATATTTACTGGTATTGGATTTATTATCAACGGTGTTTATTCTATATATATTATGATTATTAATATGATATCGGCTCATCAGGCAGTAGGTTTTTTGATTGGTACTTTATTAAGTATTGGTAAGTACATAGAGTAATGTACATAATTAAAAATTTCTATTTATTAAATCGTCCTTAGGTATTTCGGCTTTGGTATTATGGTTCATTTATACCTTATATAAGAATATTGAAAGGGAGAATCTTGAAAAAACACATCGAAGTCAATATCAAACTGGTTATGTGTGCTAAGACAACTGATTTTCCTGATCGATACATTCGATTTAATAATAGTTTCTAAACAATAATTACTAAATAAATAAGTCGATAAACGTTTTTTTCAATTTAAACATCTTTTAACAAAGTTTCAAGCAAAATATTATTATAATCACAAATCTCGAGTCTAGTTCATATAAATCTCGTCTGACTTGCGGTACACAACTTTAAAGTACCAGACGATGGTAACCATGTATAATATTGCTATTTAGTTCAATAGTTGTTTGGTTAAAAACACTATATTTATATCGGTTTTACCATGTAAATATATTAATTTCTGACGAACTAACGGATATTTTCATATGTGGTCAGGGATTCAAAACACCATTATATGGTGAGGTTATGAGACGTTTGTGCGGTTATTTGTAAATATAAGTTCAATAGCTCTTTTCAACAACAGAGTGAGCTAGAGAATGCTCACCATCGGCCCAATGTGACTTGCAGAGAACACACAGGGGGAATTGGGGTACAGGACGGCGTCGAGCCAGGGCGAGCCAGGTCGAGATCGATCTATCGATCTAGATCGAGCGAGCGAGCGAGCGAGCGAGCGAGCGAGCGAGGAGCGAGCGAGCGAGCGAGCGAGCTAGAGCGAGCGAGCGAGCGAGCGAGCGAGCGAGCGAGCGAGCGAGCGAGCGAGCGAGCGAGCGAGCGAGCGAGCGAGCGAGCGAGCGAGCGAGCGAGCGAGCGAGCAGCGAGCGAGAGAGCGAGCGAGCGAGCGAGAGCGAGCGAGCGAGCGAGCGAGCGAGCGAGCGAGCGAGCGAGCGAGCGAGCGAGAGAGCGGCTAGCGAGCGAGCAGCGAGCGAGCGAGCGAGAGAGCGAGCGAGCGAGCGAGCGAGCGAGCGAGCGAGCGAGCGAGCGAGCGAGCGAGCGAGCGAGCGAGCGAGCGACTTCTATCTATCTATCTATCTATCTATCTATCTATCTCTCTATTATCTATCTATCTATCATCTATCTATCTATCTATCTATCTATCTATCTATCTATCTATCTATCTATCTATCTATCTATCTATCTATCTATCTATCTATCTATCTATCTATCTATCTATGGTTTGCTTAGGTAAGTAACTGCTAAAATTTTTTCTGCTCACCGTAATGTAAATTACTATTTGTAGCTATTTTCAATTTTAGTTTCTTTACCGCATTTGACTCAGAAAGTAAGTAATAGTTTTAGTTTTACTATTTTTAAATATAAATTAATATTCATATTTTAATAAATATTAAGAAAGTTTCATTACATGGTGAGTTTACGTTTAACGTCTCAGTATAACGGTTTATTAATTTTTTCTAATCGGTTTATTCGTTAAAGAATTTCGTTTAGAAAAGGACATTTTATATAATCATCAAAATATGAAGTTCTGCAGTCTTTCTACACTTGGTGTCATCGTTGGTGGAATAAATGTTGTGGGTTATTTTGCTGGTATAAATTATTTAATCTATTCTATGGTGGAAACAAATTCGCTATTAAAGAAATATGAGCAAACTAAATCAGGCAAGTAGAAACCTATTATTTTAAATTTCTTTTCAGATGAAGTAATAATTTGATCAACTTCATAATAAAAACATTTCAAATAAATACATTTTATCAATTACTTCTTTTTATTAAGATGCGACATATTTTAATGTAATATTTGCTCTATTAATATTATTTTGTTTGGCAATGTTTACCATATCTGGTCTACTTGTAATGGGTATTATAAAGGTATGTAAATACAGCAAAATAATTAATTGAACTTATTAACTACATTTTATCAATTTAATTATTGTCAGAGACGTCATAAATTGATGACTCCTTGGTTGTTACTTAGTGCCATTGGCTTCGTTATAAATTCATTACGTTTTACATATCAAGTAATTGTTTCCATGGCCCAGGGAGTTGGTGCTGGTACAGTTGTATCGATATTTTTTTCTGGTTTATTAGGGCTTGGTAAGATACGGGGATCGAAATATATGTAAATCTAATTTATATGATTTTAATAAATTTCTATCTTTTTAGGATTATCTGCTTTGATAATTTGGCTTATTTATACTTTGTATAAGGCTATAGAAAAGGAGAATGTTTTAAAGCCCATACAAGTTAATTATCAGACTGCTGCACATGGGTACTAAATACCTTCAGCAATTAAAGATACAACTTATCTAGAACTTATATTTGTATTGAATATGAACAATTGCGACTGTTATTTGGGTAAAGAAATTGTTTATATTTTTTATTAAAGATTATTTTCCGCACTTGTCCCCAACTTATTTCTTACTGTATACTCAAATAATACTGAATTATAATAAAAAAATTCAAGTTTTCTATACCCACCGTCGAAAAATAATATTTATACTCCGAGCTCTTATTCGATTCTTAGACGATCTGACATTGTTTGTGCGTGGTAGCTAAAGAGTTGAAATTTTCCGTTTTCGTTCCCAGAAATACTGCTGTAAAGTGAGATATATCACAATTGGCTTAAAAATTAAATACTCTACCCCAATCACAACCTTCATCCACTATGGTAGATTATGTTGAAGGGAGGAAGTATAATACATTAATTCTGGAAAATACATATAGGCCGCTATATAGTCCAGTCTATAGTCTAGCCTATAGTCTAGTCTATAGTCTAGTCTATAGTCTAGTCTATAGTCTAGTCTATAGTCTAGTCTATAGTCTAGTCTATAGTCTAGTCTATAGTCTAGTCTATAGTCTAGTCTATAGTCTAGTCTATAGTCTAGTCTAGTCTAGTCTATAGTCTAGTCTATAGTCTAGTCTATAGTCTAGTCTATAGTCTAGTCTATAGTCTAGTCTATAGTCTAGTCTATAGTCTAGTCTATAGTCTAGTCTATAGTCTAGTCTATAGTCTAGTCTATAGTCTAGTCTATAGTCTAGTCTATAGTCTAGTCTATAGTCTAGTCTATAGTCTAGTCTATAGTCTAGTCTATAGTCTAGTCTATAGTCTAGTCTATAGTCTAGTCTATAGTCTAGTCTATAGTCTAGTCTATAGTCTAGTCTATAGTCTAGTCTATAGTCTGTCTATAGTCTAGTCTATAGTCTAGTCTATAGTCTAGTCTATAGTCTAGTCTATAGTCTAGTCTATAGTCTAGTCTATAGTCTAGTCTATAGTCTAGTCTATAGTCTAGTCTATAGTCTAGTCTATAGTCTAGTCTATAGTCTAGTCTATAGTCTAGTCTATAGTCTAGTCTATAGTCTAGTCTATAGTCTAGTCTATAGTCTAGTCTATAGTCTAGTCTATAGTCTAGTCTATAGTCTAGTCTATAGTCTAGTCTAGTAGTCTATAGTCTAGTCTATAGTCTAGTCTATAGTCTAGTCTATAGTCTAGTCTATAGTCTAGTCTATAGTCTAGTCTATAGTCTAGTCTATAGTCTAGTCTATAGTCTAGTCTATAGTCTAGTCTATAGTCTAGTCTATAGTCTAGTCTATAGTCTAGTCTATAGTCTAGTCTATAGTCTAGTCTATAGTCTAGTCTATAGTCTAGTCATAGTCTAGTCTATAGTCTAGTCTATAGTCTAGTCTATAGTCTAGTCTATAGTCTAGTCTATAGTCTAGTCTATAGTCTAGTCTATAGTCTAGTCTATAGTCTAGTCTATAGTCTAGTCTATAGTCTAGTCTATAGTCTAGTCTATAGTCTAGTCTATAGTCTAGTCTATAGTCTAGTCTATAGTCTAGTCTATAGTCTAGTCTATAGTCTAGTCTATAGTCTAGTCTATAGTCTAGTCTATAGTCTAGTCTATAGTCTAGTCTATAGTCTAGTCTATAGTCTAGTCTATAGTCTAGTCTATAGTCTAGTCTATAGTCTAGTCTATAGTCCAATCTATAGTCTATTTTAGTTCGAAAAAATTATCATATGGGTGGTATCATATGGTTGGCCTAGCCCGACTATACTATCCTAATTGTTTTAATTTTTGATTCATTACCGCATTTGACTCAGCAAAGTAAATGATTTAAATGGTATTTTTTATTGTTGATAAATATAAATTAATATATATGTATTGATGTTTTGACAAGTCTTAAGAAAATTACATTTACATGATTACTTAGTTGAGGTTCGGTGTCTCGGCATAACGGTATAGTTTTGTTTAAAAAAGAAATAACATTTTATATAATCATCAAAATATGAAGTGCTGCAGTCGTTCTACACTTGGTATGATCATTGGCGGCCTAAATGTTGTGGCCTATTTTGCTGCTGCCATTTATTTAATCTATACTATGGTGGTAATTAATTCGAATGATAAACCAGGCAAGTTTGAACCTATTAGTTTATAATTTTTCTCAGACGTTCTAATACTTGATCCAATTGATTTTTGTCAATTGTGTAAAGTAAAAAAGTTTTATCAACTATTTCTTTCTTTTTATTAAGACGTGACCTATTTTAATGTAATATATGCTCTATTAATATTATTTTGTTGGGCAATGTTTGCCATATCTGGTCTACTTATAATGGGTATTATGAAGGTACGTAAATATAAAAAAATAATTAATAGAACTTATTAAACTTTTTATTAATTTAATTATTTACAGAGACGTCACAAAATGATGATTCCTTGGTTGTTACTGGGTGCCATTGGCTTCGTTATAAATTCATTACGTTTGTCCTATGAGTTAATTGTTTCCATGACCCATGGAGTTGGTGCTGGTACAGTTATATCGATATTTTTTTCTAGTTTATTGGGTCTTGGTAAGATAACTATGGGGAAGAAAATATATTTATATAATTTTATGTATGTTTCTATCTTTATAGGTCTTTCTGCTTTAATAATTTGGCTTATTTATACTTTGTATAAGGATATAGAAAAGGAGAACATTTTAAAGCCAACTCAAGTTAATTATCAGACTAATACACATGGGTGCTAAATACTTTCAGCAATTAAAGATTGTTTATATTTTTTATTTAAGATTATTCTCAGCCCTCATTACCTATTTATTCCTTTTTGTAACCCTAAAAAAATCCTAAATTACAATAAAAATATAATGTTTTATATATGCTCCATGTTCTAATTAGATTCTTAGACGATCTAACAATGTTTAATCATCTGTATATTGCTGCCGCGTCCGCTATTAATAGTTCGTCTATGTTCAAATGGATATAACAGTTTCCCATGTAAAATTTTAAAGTTCCAGCTGTTACATTAGATTCCCAGATATACGAATTTCGGTAAACATGAGTTCTTAGTTAAATTTCTATAGTTCTAAATAAAAATTCGATAATTGAAGTTAAATTAATACAAAATTTAGATTACTAAAATATAAAAGAATATCATGTGAACAGTCTTATAGAAAATTTAAAAGTACTTTTCTGTTTTTATGTACTATTGAGCAACGGGAAGTCCCTGCTTTTAGATTGTCATTTACTTATATACTTATGTTTGATTTAATGATACTCTCCACCACCATCAGTAGTGTTAGAAGGTTTAATATCTTTTTCAACACTGAGAAATATTTATTTGAGTGCCAACAAAGCTGGCATTTCATTTCGAAAAATACCGCAGTAATACCCACAACTTATTCGGTACTTTTTCTTACCAACAAACTTTTGATAAGCAGTCCACATAGTAGTTAGTACGTAGTCTAGTCTTTAGTATAGTTTATAGACTAGTTTATAGTATAGTATATAGTCTAGTATAGTATATAGTCTAGTCTATAGTCCAGTATATAGTCTAGTATATAGTCTAGTATATAGTATAGTCTATAGTCTAGTCTATAGTCTAGTCTATAGTCTAGTCTATAGTCTAGTCTATAGTATAGTCTAGTCTATAGTCTAGTCTATAGTCTAGTCTATAGTCTAGTCTATAGTCTAGTCTATAGTGTAGTCTATAGTCTAGTCCATAGTCTAGTCTATAGCCTAGTATATACTCTAGTCTATAGTCTAGTCTATAGTCTAGGCTATAGTCTAGTCTATAGTCTAGTCTATAGTCTAGTCTATAGTCTAGTCTATAGTCTAGGCTATAGTCTAGTCTATAGTCTAGTCTATAGTCTAGTCTATAGTCGAGTCTATAGTCTAGTCTAGTCTATAGTCTAGTCTATAGTCTAGTCTATAGTCTAGTCTATAGTCTAGTCCATAGTCTAGTCTATAGCCTAGTATATACTCTAGTCTATAGTCTAGTCTATAGTCTAGTCTATAGTCTAGTCTATAGTCTAGTCTATAGTCTAGTCTATAGTCTAGTCTATAGTCTAGTCTATAGTCTAGTCTATAGTCTAGTCTATAGTCTAGTCTATAGTCTAGTCTATAGTCTAGTCTATATAGTCTAGTCTATAGTCTAGTCTATAGTCTAGTCTATAGTCTAGTCTATAGTCTAGTCTATAGTCTAGTCTATAGTCTAGTCTATAGTCTAGTCTATAGTCTAGTCTATAGTCTAGTCTATAGTCTAGTCTATAGTCTAGTCTATAGTCTAGTCTATAGTCTAGTCTATAGTCTAGTCTATAGTCTAGTCTATAGTCTAGTCTATAGTCTAGTCTATAGTCTAGTCTATAGTCTAGTCTATAGTCTAGTCTATAGTCTAGTCTATAGTCTAGTCTATAGTCCTAGTCTATAGTCTAGTCTATAGTCTAGTCTATAGTCTAGTCTATAGTCTAGTCTATAGTCTAGTCTATAGTCTAGTCTATAGTCTAGTCTATAGTCTAGTCTATAGTCTAGTCTATAGTCTAGTCTATAGTCTAGTCTATAGTCTAGTCTATAGTCTAGTCTATAGTCTAGTCTATAGTCTAGTCTATAGTCTAGTCTATAGTCTAGTCTATAGTCTAGTCTATAGTCTAGTCTATAGTCTAGTCTATAGTTCTGGTTTATTAGGACTAGGTAAGATTGGGGAAAGAAACTATATGTGTATCTAATTTTTTATGATTTTATGTATTTTTCTATCTTTGTAGGTCTTTCTGCTTTAATAATTTGGCTTATTTATACATTGTATAAGGATATAGAAAAGGAGAATATTTTGAAGTTAACTCGAGTTAATTATCAGACTGATGCACATGGGTATTAAACTCTTTCAGCAATTGAAGATACATATGTGAAGATATGAAAAATCCCAAATTAGAATAAAAAATTGTGTTTTCTACGTCCATCATATAGTCATATAGTTTAATAATAAAAATCATAAATTATAATGGCAACCCTTTGTAATATGTGGGGTTTCCCTTTAACAGTGATCAACCAAATAAACTCATATACCGTGGTGCGTTGTACTCAATTCAATTCCATCGAATGCATTTTTTAAGCCAGTTTCTCTGTTTTAAAATTTTATAAATTTCACATGAGAAAAATTCTCATGAAATTCGTATTTGCACGTTTATTTTACCATCAGCTTAACAGTTCAATTCCATACTTTAGTTTAGTTTTGTATTTTGTTGCGATCGGTTTTTATACGCATATAATTTAAAAATACACAATAAAGAGAAAATAAAATAATTTAAAATTTTTAAAAACATGAAATACTGCAGTCGTTCCACCCTTGGTCTAATTATTGGCAGCCTTAATGTCTTGATCTATCTTGCCTGTTTTATCTATGCGATTATTGTCTTAGTCGACATAAATTCAGGGGAAAATTCCAGTTATAAGGAAAAAGAAAATATTTGTAAGTTGCATTAAATGAAATTTGGTTTGTTGGTGAAGAAAAAAAGTAATGTTTTATGGAAATTGTAATTAATACTCAGAATTCAAAATGACGTAGTGTTTAGGTTTAAAATGAATATGGAATTGCGACTGGTTTTTGTTTGTTATATTAATTGTTTATATATTTATTCAAGCAGCAACTGCTGCCAGATTTTTTTCAGCCCTCTTTCACAATTATTTTTTTGGATCCCCAAAACTGGTAATTACAATCACAAATTGTTTTTGCTTATATCTACAATCAACAAATACATACATCTATGCACATACACAGAAAAAAATATGCACACAATTTCTTTCCTAGTGTAGTCTATAGATTAGTTTCTAGTCTAGTCGATAGTCCCTGTCTATAATCCACTCTATAGTCCTATAGTCTAGTCTATAGTCAAGTCTATATTCTAGTCGATAGTCTAGTCTATAGTCTAGTCTATAGTCTAGTCTATAGTCTAGTCTATAGTCTAGCTCTAGTCTAGTCTATAGTCTAGTCATAGTCCTAGTCTATAGTCTAGTCTATAGTCTAGTCTATAGTCCTAGTCTATAGTATAGTCTATAGTCTAGTCTATAGTCTAGTCTATAGTCCTAGTCTATAGTCTAGTCTATAGTCTAGTCTATAGTCTAGTCTATAGTCTAGTCTATAGTCTAGTTCTATAGTCTAGTCTATAGTCTAGGCATAGTCTAGTCTATAGTCTAGTCTATAGTCTAGTCTATAGTCCTAGTCTATAGTCTAGTCTATAGTCTAGTCTATAGTCTAGTCTATAGTCTAGTCTATAGTCTAGTCTATAGTCTAGTCTATAGTCTAGTCTATAGTCTAGTCTATAGTCTAGTCTATAGTCTAGTCTATAGTCTAGTCTATAGTCTAGTCTATAGTCTAGTCTATAGTCTAGTCTATAGTCTAGTCTATAGTCTAGTCTATAGTCTAGTCTATAGTCTAGTCTATAGTCTAGTCTATAGTCTAGTCTATAGTCTAGTCTATAGTCTAGTCTATAGTCTAGTCTATAGTCTAGTCTATAGTCTAGTCTATAGTCTAGTCTATAGTCTAGTCTATAGTCTAGTCTATAGTCTAGTCTATAGTCTAGTCTATAGTCTAGTCTATAGTCTAGTCTATAGTCTAGTCTATAGTCTAGTCTATAGTCTAGTCTATAGTCTAGTCTATAGTCTAGTCTATAGTCTAGTCTATAGTCTAGTCTATAGTCTAGTCTATAGTCTAGTCTATAGTCTAGTCTATAGTCTAGTCTATAGTCTAGTCTATAGTCTAGTCTATAGTCTAGTCTATAGTCTAGTCTATAGTCTAGTCTATAGTCTAGTCTATAGTCTAGTCTATAGTCTAGTCTATAGTCTAGTCTATAGTCTGGTCTATAGTCTAGTCTATAGTCTAGTCTATAGTCTAGTCTATAGTCTAGTCTATAGTCCAGTCTATAATCCACTCTATAGTCTAGTCTATAGTCCAGTCTATAATCCACTCTATAGTCTAGTCTATAGTCTAGTCTATAGTCTAGTCTATAGTCTAGTCTATAGTCTAGTCTATAGTCTAGTCTATAGTCTAGTCTATAGTCTAGTCTATAGTCTAGTCTATAGTCTAGTCTATAGTCTAGTCTATAGTCTAGTCTATAGTCTAGTCTATAGTCTAGTCTATAGTCTAGTCTATAGTCTAGTCTATAGTCTAGTCTATAGTCTAGTCTATAGTCTAGTCTATAGTCTAGTCTATAGTCTAGTCTATAGTCTAGTCTATAGTCTAGTCTATAGTCTAGTATATAGTCTAGTCTATAGTCTAGTCTATAGTCAAGTCTATAGTTTAGTCTATAGTCCGGTACATAGTATAGTCTATAGTGTAGTCTATAGTCTGGTATATAGTGTAGTCTATAGTGTAGTCCATAGTCTAGTCTAGTAGGTAGTCTAGTATATAGCCTTCCAAATTCTTCTAGAGGGCAAGAGGGACACAAAGTGGTGTTCCGCCCATAGTCCACATCAGTGGTTTTTCAATAATTTGTATTTTTTGAAGAACTTTTATAGACAACCTTAGGCGTTAAAGGGCAGATTATCTATCTATCTATCTATCTATCTATCTATCTATCTATCTATCTATCTATCTATCTATCTATCTATCTATCTATCTATCTATCTATCTATCTATCTATCTATCTATCTATCTATCTATCTATCTATCTATCTATCTATCTATCTATCTATCTATCTATCTATCTATCTATCTATCTATCTATCTACCTATCTATCTATATAAAAAATTTTGTTTCATTTAATTCCAGCCCTTCACAATAAAATTATTATTATATTAATAATATTATGTATAGTAATGGCCATTATATCGGGTCTGCTGATAATGGGTATTGTAAAGGTAAGCTCGATATACGATATTTGAAATATTGCTAAATATTTTGTGACTACTTTACAGAGACGCCACAAACTAATGATGCCTTGGCTAATACTTAGTGGCATCGGTTTCATAGTCAATTGTGTAAATTTTGCATTTAAATTTATTGGTTCCATGTTTACCGTTCCATTTCTGTCACTAGTAATTATGTTCGTAGTGGGTTTATTGGGAATAGGTAAGTTATTAATATGTAAAGTCTGCATAATAGCGCTATAATTTATTATATCTTTTACAGTTATTTCATATTTAATATTATGGCCGATTTTTACTTTGTATGGTGATATACAAAAGGAAAATTTTGAACAAGAGTCGAATGATCGTATTAAAAGCGATAGGCCTAGATGATGATGATATTATAACAAAATTGCTTTTTTTAATATTATAAAATAAATAGAAGAAATAGATAAAATTGAATAAATTAAAATATTTGTTATAATATTATAACATAAAATAATTTTTTTTGTCTAGAAAAAGCTCTTAATTTTTGAACCTAAAGCACTAAGTTGACACATTATATTTTATGAGTCTATCTTCGGCTTGTACAGACATATAGTATATGTATGTATGTACATTATCGTGTTTTTGTTTTTAAATAAACAAATTTGTGGTGTTTTTTTTAATTAAACAATTTAATGAAATTTTCAATTCAGTTGGCGGTTAACATTCAGAATTAAACATACGTAGATTAGAAATAACGAACGTTTTAAAAATCATAAGATTTCAAAACTTTATAATAATGAAGTGGTGCTGTAGTCGTTATACTACTGGAGTCGCAATTGGCTCTATATATATTGTGGTCATCGTATTGTTTTTTATTTCAACATGTGTTACTTATGTACATTATGACAAGGTCCATGATCCACAACGTAGAGATAACTTGAAATCTGTAGGTAAGTTTGAAAAGATCTTTAGGAAGGGAATGAAGTTCCGAAATCAAAACATTATTCATTCTAATAAAATTTTATAAATAAAAATCTCCAACAGCTATCAAATCGATGATAGTATGTGCTGTATCAGTTATAATATCTGCTCTCTTCATAGTGGCCATTGTAAAGGTATGAAAGAATAACTTCCAGCTAAGTCGTTTGGTAAGTAATTACTTAAATGTTAATAATTTAAAATATTTACAGAGATATAAATACTTGATAATTCCCTGGCTTTTACTGGTTGTCTATTATTTTTGTGCAACTTGTATGTTCATATTCGCATGGTTTATTGGAGCTGGAATGGGTGGTGCTTCAGGTTTAACATTTTTGCTAATAGTGGCGATTGGTGTCTTAGCAATTGGTATGATTATTAGAATTTTTATTTTGATTTGCTTTTAAATCTTTTTTAATATTTTTATTTAGTTATACAAATTGCCATTTTTTGGTTTAGTTGTTCTCTGTTCAGAGAAATACATTTGGAATATAAAGAACATACTCCAATACCAAAATCAGATCCGATGACGGAACGTAGTTTTGTGTGAATTTATATGTATAAAGAAATAAATTTTATTTTGGATTTTTTTTGAATAACATATTTATTATACATATTTTTTACGATTAAAGTATTTTTTATAGCAACAAAAAACAAAAAAAAAAAAAAAACAATTAATAAATTGCCTTAAAATTATTTAAATTATTATTTGTTAATATCGAACGTTAATTGAATAGAAATTGATTTTGCATAATCATTATTATTATACATACTCACTAGCGTGGTCATGTAACTCTGAGAAATATCGGAGACTTTGAAATTGTGAGACGATTTTGCTTTTGCCAAATAAAAACGAAGCAGTAGAACGATTTTAGATTTCTTAAGTTTTCTTAGCTAAAGTCGATTTTTGGTCATTAATTTTTTGTGACTAGGAATCAAGCTTATTTTCTCAAATAAACGCTAGTCTAAGCTAGACTACTTTGTAGTCTATCTTACAGACTACTTTGTAGTCTATCCTATAGACTACTTTATAGTCTATCCTATAGACTACTTTGTAGTCTATCCTACAAAGTAGTCTATCTACGCTAGTCTATGCTAGACTACTTTGTAGTCTATCTTACAGACTACTTTGTAGTCTATCCTATAGACTACTTTATAGTCTATCCTATAGACTACTTTGTAGTCTATCCTATAGACTACTTTGTAGTCTATTCTACAGACTACTTTGTAGTCTATTCTATAAACTACTTTGTAGTCTATACTATAGACAACTTTGTAGTCTATACTATAGACAACTTTGTAGTCTATACTATAGACAACTTTGTAGTCTATACTATAGACAACTTTGTAGTCTATACTATAGACAACTTTGTAGTCTATACTATAGACAACTTTGTAGTCTATACTATAGACAACTTTGTAGTCTATACTATAGACAACTTTGTAGTCTAGTCTATACTATAGACAACTTTGTAGTCTATACTATAGACAACTTTGTAGTCTATACTATAGACAACTTTGTAGTCTATACTATAGACAACTTTGTAGTCTATACTATAGACAACTTTGTAGTCTATACTATAGACAACTTTGTAGTCTATACTATAGACAACTTTGTAGTCTATACTATAGACAACTTTGTAGTCTATACTATAGACAACTTTGTAGTCTATACTATAGACAACTTTGTAGTCTATACTATAGACAACTTTGTAGTCTATACTATAGACAACTTTGTAGTCTATACTATAGACAACTTTGTAGTCTATACTATAGACAACTTTGTAGTCTATACTATAGACAACTTTGTAGTCTATACTATAGACAACTTTGTAGTCTATACTATAGACAACTTTGTAGTCTATACTATAGATAACTTTGTAGTCTATACTATAGACAACTTTGTAGTCTATCCCATAGACTGCTTACTTTGTATTATAACCTATAGACTACTATAGACTACTTTGTGGTCTATACTATAGACTAGTTTGTAGTCTATATTATAGACTACTTTGTAGTCTATCCTATAGACTACTTTGTAGTCTATCCTATAGACTACTTTGTAGTCTATCCTATAGACTACTTTGTAGTAAATCCTATAGACTACTTTGTAGTCTGTCCTATAGACTACTCTGTAGTTTATCCTTTAGACTACTTTTTTAGTATATCCTATAGACTACTTTGTAGTAAATCCTATAGACTACTTTGTAGTCTATCCTATAGACTACTCTGTAGTTTATCCTATAGACTACTTTGTAGTCTATCCTATAGACTACTTTGTAGTCTATCCTATAGACTACTCTGTAGTTTATCCTATAGACTACTTTGTAGTCTATCCTTTAGACTACTTTGTAGTATATCCTATAGACTACTCTGTAGTTTATCCTATATACTACTTTGTAGTCTATCCTTTAGACTACTTTGTAGTATATCCTATAGACTACTTTGTAGTAAATCCTATAGACCATTTTGTAGTCTATCCCATAGACTACTTTGTAGTTTATTCTATAGACTACTTTGTAAATTATTCTATAGACTACTTTGTAGTCTATCCCATAGACTGCTTTGTAGTCTATCCCATAGACTACTTTGTAGTCTATCCCATAGACTGCTTTGTAGTCTATCCCATAGACTGCTTTGTAGTCTATCCCATAGACTGCTTTGTAGTCTATCCCATAGACTGCTTTGTAGTCTATCCCATAGACTACTTTGAAGTCTATCCCATAGACTACTTTGTAGTATATCCTATAGACTACTTTGTAGTCTATTCTATAGACTACTCTGTAGTCTATTCTATAGACTACTTTGTAGTCTATTCTATAGACTACTTTGTAGTCTATTCTATAGACTACTTTGTAGTCTATTCTATAGACTACTTTGTTGTCTATTCTATAGACTACTTTGTTGTCTATTCTATAGACTACTTTGTTGTCTATTCTATAGACTACTTTGTTGTCTATTCTATAGACTACTTTGTAGTCTATTCTATAGAACACTTTGTAGTCTGTTCTATAGATAACTTTGTAGTCTATTCTATAGACTACTTTGTAGTCTATTCTATAGACTACTTTGTAGTCTATTCTATAGACTACTTTGTAGTCTATTCTATAGACTACTTTGTAGTCTATTCTATAGACTACTTTGTAGTTTATTAGGGTCAAGGGTACCTAAAACTTTCTCGATTTATTAATAGTTCTTTTTCCATTAACTTTGGTTAACCTAACCTATTAAAAAAGGTTTATGAATACAGCAGTTAATAATTATTGCACTTAAGTTAGATTGTGCATAATTAACCATGAAAGGTTTGATATCATAAAATTGTTTTTGTTGGCGGGATTTGGCAAATTCGAAAGATTAAAATTCATTTCCTTTAATTTTTTTTAGGTTTTCAAATTGCAGCACAAGTATTATTAATATATTTGAATGCGATATAATTGTTAAAGAAACCACAAAATTAAAATAATTATATTATATTTCAAAAATAAATAACAGAATGTAATCTATTTCATATATAAACTGATAATCTTGAGTCAACTATAGAGCGATCTTAACAATATCATGATTAATACATAAATATGCAACTTTAAAGATATTTAAAATAAATATTGTTTACAGATCTTTAGTATGACTATGAAAATATGTTGATGTTGAAGGGCATTTAATATTCGGCTTAGACTCGCACTTGTATTTTTTTACTCATTTCAGTATTTGAAAGAAATTTTAAAGTCCATCAACAGTTGACATTCAGAATTCAACAAAAAGTGTCCTAAATGTTACAAGCGCTTGAAATTGAATTGAAAAAAGTGGATCGTGTTTAAAACCATTAGTTTCGGAGACTTAAGAAATTCCGTTAAAAATTTCAAAACTATTATATAATGAAGTGGTGCTATAGTCGTTACACTACTGGAGTCACAATTGGCTCTCTATATATTTTGGGCATCGTATTATTTTTTATTTCAACATTTATTACTTATATGCATTATGACAAGTTGGAGAAAGTTCAACGTAGAGAAAAATTAAAGTTAGAAGGTAAGTGTATTAAGAGTGTAGTTCTAAACTATAGATTACTTTGTAGTCTAATCAATGGAATACTTGTAGTCTAATCAATGGAATACTTCTATGCTATAGAATACTTTGTAGTCTATGCTATAGAATACTTTGTATTCTATACTATAGACTACTTTGTAGTCTACTCTATAGACTACTTTGTAGTCTACTCTATAGACTACTTTGTAGTCTCTTCTATAGACTACTTTGTATTCTATTCTATAGACTACTTTGTAGTATATTCTATAGACTACTTTGCAGTCTATTCTATAGACTACTTTGTAGTCTATTCTATAGACTACTTTCTATAGCATAGACTACTTTGTAGTCTATGCTGTAGACTATACTACTTTGTAGTCTACTCTATAGACTACTTTGTAGTCTATGCTATAGACTACTTTGTAGTCTATGCTATAGACTACTTTGTAGTCTATGCTATAGACTACCTTGTAGTCTATGCTATAGACTACTTTGTAGTCTATGCTATAGACTACTTTGTAGTCTATGCTATAGACTACTTTGTAGTCTATGCTATAGACTACCTTGTAGTCTATGCTATAGACTACTTTGTAGTCTATGCTATAGACTACTTTGTAGTCTATGCTATAGACTACTTTGTAGTCTATGCTATAGACTACTTTGTAGTCTATGCTATAGACTACTTTGTAGTCTATGCTATAGACTACTTTGTAGTCTATGCTATAGACTACTTTGTAGTCTATGCTATAGACTAATTTGTAGTCTATGCTATAGACTACTTTGTAGTCTATGCTATAGACTACATTGTAGTCTATGCTATAGACTAATTTGTAGTCTATGCTATAGACTACTTTGTAGTCTATGCTATTGACTACTTTGTATTCTATGCTACAGAATACTTTGTAGTTTACGCTGCAATCTATGCTATAGACTACTTTATAATTTATGCTATAGACTTCTTTATAGTTTATTCTATAGACTACTTTGTACTCTATTTTGTAGTCTATGCTATAGACTACTTTGTAGTCTATGCTATAGACTACTTTGTAGTCTATGCTATAGACTACTTTGTAGTCTATGCTATAGACTACCTTGTGGTCTATGCTATAGACTACTTTGTAGTTTTTGCTATAGACTACTTTGTAGTCTATGCTATAGACTACTTTGTAGTCTATGCTATATACTACTTTGTAGTCTATGCTATAGACTACTTTGTAGTCCATGATATAGTTTACTTTGTATTCTATGCTATAGTCTACTTTGTAGTCTATGCTATTGGCTACTTTGTATTCTATGCTACAGACTACTACAATCTATGCTACAGACTACTTTATAATCTATGCTATAGACTTCTTTGTAGTTATGCTATAGACTTTACTTTGTAGTCTATGCTATGGACTACTTTGTAGTCTATGCAATAAACTACATTGTAGTCCATGCTATAGGTTACTTTGTAGTCTATGCTATTGACTACTTTGTATTCTATGCTACAGACTACTACAATCTCTGCTATAGACTACTTCAGAATCTATGCTTTAGACTTCTTTGTAGTTTATTCTATAGACTACTTTGTATTCTATTCTGTAGACTATGCTATAGACTATTTTGTAGTCTATGCTGTAGTCTATGTAGTTTATTACATACACTACTTTGTAATATATTCTATATATGTTCTATAAACTCATTCACAGTCAATATACTAGACTACTTTGTAGTCTATTCTTTAGACTACTTCGTAGATTACTAGACTACTTTGTACTTTATTCTATAGACTACTGTGTTATCTATTCTATAGACTACTTTGTAGCCTATACTATATACTACTTTGTAGCCTATACTATATACTACTTTGTAGTCTATGCTATTGACTACTTTGTAGTATATTTTTTAGATTATTTTGTACTCTATTCTATAGACTACTCATAGCCTATACTATATAATACTTTGTAGTCTATTCTACATACTACTTTGTAGTATATTCTATATACTACTTTGTAGTCTATTCTATTGACTACATTGTAGTCTATTCTATAAAATACTTTGTCATCTATTCTATAGACTACTTTGTCATCTATTCTATAGACTACTTTGTAGTCTATTCCATAGACTACTTTGAAGTCTATTATGTAGACTACTTTGTGGTCTTTATTATAAACTACTTTGTACTCTATACTATTATATTCTATGCTACTACTTTGTAGTCTATTCTATAGACTACTTTGTAGTATATTCTATAGACCACTTTATAGTCTATAGACTACTTTGTAGTCTATTCTATAGACTACTTTGTGGTCTATACTAAAAATTACTTTGTAGTCTATACTATTCTATTCTATGCTACTACTTTGTAGTCTATTCTATAGACTACTTTGTAGTTATATTTTATAGTTCTATTCTACCACTTTGTAGTCTGTTCTATAGAATACCTTGTTGGCTATTCTTAGACTACTTTGTAGTCTATTCTTAGACTACTTTGTAGTCTATTCTTAGACTACTTTGTAGTCTATTCTTAGACTACTTTGTAGTCTATTCTTAGACTACCTTGTAGTCTATTCTATAGACTACTTTGTAGTCTGTTATATAAACTACTTTGTAGTTCTATTGCATAGACTTCTTTTTAGTTCTATTCTGCAGACTACTTTGTAGTTCTATTCTAGAGATATTCTATTAAAATATAAATAATTTGTTTTCTTCAGCTATCAAATCCATGATAATATGTTCTGTACAAGCTATAATATCTGCTTTATTCATATTAGCCATTGTAAAGGTAAGAAAATCACTTCCAAAAGAGTTGTCTAATAAGTAATTGAATAAATTCTACAATTTAAAATATTTATAGAGGTATAAATATTTGATAATTCCCTGGCTATTACTTGCTTTCTACAATTTCTATTACACTGGTTTGCATGCATACTATTGCTTTATTGGAGCTGCCATAGCTGGTCCTTCCGTTTGGTTTATTTTGCTTCTTATTGTGATTGCTCTGTTGGTATTTGGTATGAAAATTATAAAATTTTCTTAAAAAAATAATCATAATAATTTATGTTTTTTTTAGGTCTACAAATTGTCGTTTTTTGGTTTAGTTGTTCCTTGTTTAAGGAAATACATTTCGAATATAATCAAAAACCTCAGATCCCAACTTCAGATCCTCAGAGGTCAGAAAATACTTATGAAATTTGAATTTTTTTTTATTTACATAATAAAATATTAATATAGTTTTTAATCTTTCTAAAATTCCACTTTTATTAAAGTATTACTTTATAGTTATATATGAATATTTTTGAAAAAAGTCTTAAAAAATGTTTTATATGCTTAACGTTTTATTCACTATCTCAAGACTGGATTATAGACAAAATTATAGACTAAAGTATAGACTAGACTGTAGACTAGACTATAGACTAGTCTATAGTCTAGACTATAGACTAGACTATAGACTAGACTGTAGACTAGACTATAGACTAGACTATAGACTAGACTATAGACTAGACTATAGACTAGAATATAGACTAGAATATAGACTAGACTATAGACTAGACTATAGACTAGACTATAGACTAGACTATAGACTAGACTATAGACTAGAATATAGACTAGACTATAGACTAGACTATAGACTAGACTATAGACTAGACTATAGACTAGACTATAGACTAGACTATAGACTAGACTATAGACTAGACTATAGACTAGACTATAGACTAGACTATAGACTAGACTATAGACTAGACTATAGACTAGACTATAGACTAGACTATAACTAGACTATAGACTAGACTATAGACTAGACTATAGACTAGACTATAGACTAGACTATAGACTAGACTATAGACTAGACTATAGACTAGACTATAGACTAGACTATAGACTAGACTATAGACTAGACTATAGACTAGACTATAGACTAGACTATAGACTAGACTATAGACTAGACTATAGACTAGACTATAGACTAGACTATAGACTAGACTATAGACTAGACTATAGACTAGACTATAGACTAGACTATAGACTAGACTATAGACTAGACTATAGACTAGACTATAGACTAGACTATAGACTAGACTATAGACTAGACTATAGACTAGACTATAGACTAGACTATAGACTAGACTATAGACTAGACTATAGACTAGACTATAGACTAGACTATAGACTAGACTATAGACTAGACTATAGACTAGAATAGACTAGACTATAGACTAGACTATAGACTAGACTATAGACTAGACTATAGACTAGACTATAGACTAGACTATAGACTAGACTATAGACTAGACTATAGACTAGACTATAGACTAGACTATAGACTAGACTATAGACTAGACTATAGACTAGACTATAGACTAGACTATAGACTAGACTATAGACTAGACTATAGACTAGACTATAGACTAGACTATAGACTAGACTATAGACTAGACTATAGACTAGACTATAGACTAGACTATAGACTATATAGACTAGACTATAGACTAGACTATAGACTAGACTATAGACTAGACTATAGACTAGACTATAGACTAGACTATAGACTAGACTATAGACTAGACTATAGACTAGACTATAGACTAGACTATAGACTAGACTATAGACTAGACTATAGACTAGACTATAGACTAGACTATAGACTAGACTATAGACTAGACTATAGACTAGACTATAGACTAGACTATAGACTAGACTATAGACTAGACTATAGACTAGACTATAGACTAGACTATAGACTAGACTATAGACTAGACTATAGACTAGACTATAGACTAGACTATAGACTAGACTATAGACTAGACTATAGACTAGACTATAGACTAGACTATAGACTAGACTATAGACTAGACTATAGACTAGACTATAGACTAGACTATAGACTAGACTATAGACTAGACTATAGACTAGACTATAGACTAGATTATAGACTAGACTATAGACTAGACTATAGACTAGACATAGACTAGACTATAGACTAGACTATAGACTAGACTATAGACTAGACTATAGACTAGACTATAGACTAGACTATAGACTAGACTTATAGACTAGACTTATAGACTAGACTATAGACTAGACTATAGACTAGACTATAGACTAGACTATAGACTAGACTATAGACTAGACTATAGACTAGACTATAGACTAGACTATAGACTAGACATAGACTAGACTATAGACTAGACTATAGACTAGAATAGACTAGACTATAGACTAGACTATAGACTAGACTATAGACTAGACTATAGACTAGACTATAGACTAGACTATAGACTAGACTATAAGACTAGACTATAGACTAGACTATAGACCAGACTATAGACTAGACTATAGACTAGACTATAGACTAGAACTATAGACTAGACTATAGACTAGACTATAGACCTAGACTATAGACTAGACTATAGACTAGACTATAGACTAGACTATAGACTAGACTATAGACTAGACTATAGACTAGACTATATAGACTAGACTATAGACTAGACTATAGACTAGACTATAGACTAGACTATAGACTAGACTATAGACTAGACTATAGACTAGACTATAGACTAGACTATAGACTAGGACTATAGACTAGACTATAGACTAGACTATAGACTAGACTATAGACTAGACTATAGACTAGACTATAGACTAGACTATAGACTAGACTATAGACTAGACTATAGACTAGACTATAGACTAGACTATAGACTAGACTATAGACTAGACTATAGACTAGACTATAGACTAGACTATAGACTAGACTATAGACTAGACTATAGACTAGACTATAGACTAGACTATAGACTAGACTATATACTAGACTATAGACTAGACTATAGACTAGACTATATACTAGACTATAGACTAGACTATAGACTAGACTATAGACTAGACTATAGACTAGACTATAGACTAGACTATAGACTAGACTATAGACTAGACTATAGACTAGACTATAGACTAGACTATAGACTAGACTACTAGACTAGACTACTAGACTAGACTATAGACTAGACTATAGACTAAACTATAGACTAGACTATAGACTAGACTATAGACTAGACTATAGACTAGACTATAGACTTGACTATAGACTAGACTATAGACTAGACTATAGACTAGAATATAGACTAGACTATAGACTAGACTGTAGACTAAACTATAAACTATAGACTAGACTATAGACAAAAAGTACTAAAAAAGTTATTATAGTTCTGATACACATTTTAGTTTCATTCACCATGAAATTCTCATGGAACAGATACTCAACCAAAAAACTCAAATAGAAAAAACTCAAAGAATTTAACAGGTTGTGGTTATTTGGAATGTAGTATATTTTACTCAGCTATTCTCATAATTTATGTTTTGATAACATTTTATGTTTACAGTGTGTGCGTGTCTCCGTCCCCACTGGGGATTCTAAGTTTTTTTTTTTTTTCATACAACTGTGGTGAAGCTCTCTGATTTCTAATAGAGAGTAATTTTGCTAAAAATTATACTTTCTACATTTTTTTTTTGACTTTAGTAAACATTTGCCATTTGGTCTGGTCGGTGGTATAAATTTGTTCATTGTTGTTAATAAATTTTAAAACAATACGTATTTTGCGTTAAGCCAAAAACCAAAACCTTAAACCACTATATTTGGCTGCTTATTAAAATGTCCGACCATTTAAAAACATGCACTAACTACTTGGGTATGAAAGATATTTTTCGGTGTGTGTTCAAAGGGTCTCCGACCTAGGCATAGTGAATTAAAGTTATTTTTTTTACTTATCTGAAAAGTTTTTGGAGTTTGAAAACTAATTCTTGAAATCTTTTGGTGGAGCATCAGAAGCTTCTCCTCAATATACCCAGGAAAGCAATTAATAAAATCTTTTATACATTGTGTACCAGTCGCCAAGATGATCTTTTGTAAAAACCACGATGCGTCATCGTTCGATATATTCGCATTCGAATAAAAATATGAAAAAAATGTGTGCTAAAAGCAGCTCTTTTTAACCTAAATACTGATTATTTTTTTAGATGTATATGTATGTTCACACTTATCAAATATTTGAGTAAATCTAACGTTTGCCATAATTTCTGTAGATTTAATTAAGAAATTTTGCGATAATTGCAATTAATAACGAACCATATTACAAAGAAATTTTGAGGCAAATCTATATTAATTAAACAATTTCGTTCAATATTCGATTAGTGTGAACATAGTATTTACGCATCTTACTCTCTCTCTCTCTCTCTCTCTGTATCTCTGTTTTTAATCACAAATATATTGCATATTTCAATGAAATTTTCAATTTCAATCAATAGTCGGCATTCAGCATTTCATTAACGAACACTTATCTCTACATATATTTTAAAAGGTTTCCTTTTGTTTTGCGTTGAATTTTTTAATTTAAAAGTAAAATATATAAATAAATTTAAGAATTTTCAAATAAATATTCTAAAACTGTATAAAATATGAAGTGGTGTTGTAGTCGTTATACTTCGGGTATCGTCATTGGTTCCATTTATATTGTGGGCAGCATAATTTCTTAATTTTTGCATGTATTGCCTATATGGAATATGAGGAAATTGTTGACGATGATCAACGTCGGGAAAAGTTAAAATCTGAAGGTAAGTAAGGCTCTAAATCTCAAAAATCTGGTGGTATTCTAGACGGATATAAGGTCTATAGTTAAAGACAGCTTAGAAACTGATGCAGCTAGTAGAAGACCTATTGCAAATATATGTATGTCAATTGCACTGACCGAACTTAGTCCCAAAAAGAGAATATTAGTTAGTTCAAACTTCATCACGTTAAACTGACAAGTCTCCATAATATCTATTATCGTCCTGCATAAACTAATAACGGAACTAATTTTGTCCCTCTAGGGAGTTTTTCTTAATTGCTTCTATTAAAAGTTTAATTAATAATTTGTTACTTAGATTTCTTATTATTGAAATTTGTTTTCGAAAATGTAATTATTTATTATTTATTGATTATATTAAGGGGTCACAAGAAAGGTCTAAGCTATAAAATCATTTGGAATTTTAAAAATTTTGATAAAGCTTGTTTGTCTTTTTTTTATATTGTTTACATTTTGAAGAACTCAAGACTTCAATACCCTAGACCTTGGTGATAAGGAAAGAATTTAATAATCCTGTTAGATATTGATTTTGAATTTGAGAGGCTTTAATATGGGCCCTGAATCCATTTATAGCTTAAATACATTTTCTAAACAGCCACTATATTCTAAGGATCCATATAAGTAGTAAAAATTATAAAGAACTGAAATACAATTAAAAACAACTCAACATGATATTATTGTCTCAGGAGCAATGATCGCTAATATCTCTAGGGATCAATCATTGGAGTATTCTAGTCCATAAACTAGTCCCCAAATGAATCACTAGTCTATTCTATAGACTAGTCAACAGTCTACTCAATAGATAGGTTCATAGAAGAGTCTATGAACTATTTCATAGACTTATGTAAATATTACTCAGTAGTCTAGTCCATAGTCCATAGGTCAATCAATGGTTCGTTGACTAATAGAATAAGTAATAGCCCAATCAATAGTCTAGTTCATAGCAGTAGTGTAGTCCATAAACTAGACTGTAGACTAGTCTCTTAACTAATCAATAGAGTAGCCTACATTCTACTTAATAGTCCAGTCCATGGAATAGTCTATGAACTATATCATAGACGAATGCATATATTACTCAATAGAGTAACTAGTCCATAGTTTAGTCAGTATATTTGTTCACAGGTTAGCCATAGGTTGACTAATAGACTAGGTAATAAAATATGTAGTTAATATCCGAGACCATAGTCTAGTTCATAGATTAGTCAATCAATAGAATGAACTTCCGATATGTATAGTAATATGGGATTATAGAAAATCTAAAAATAAACCTCTAAAAAATTGTTGCTGGTAAAAATTCTGAAGCTTTCAACAATAAACGACTTTTTAAATCTTCCACAGCTATCACCACAATGATTATATGTTGCACAGCAGCTTTAATATCGGCTCTATTTATAGTGGCCATTGCTAAGGTTAGTTCAAAATTTGCAGTTATCCGGCTCCGTAACCTAATATTTTCTACATATTTACAGAGATTCCAATACTTAATACTTCCCTGGCTAATACTGGGCATCTTTTGTTTCTATGAAACTTGTGTAACCATGTACTGGTGGTTTATTGGTGCTGCAATGGGTGGTGCTTCTGGCATAACATTTTTAGTACTTCTTCTAATTGCTGTACTGGCATTTGGTATGTGTAATGTTGGATGAACTTTTTTACTAGATATATTATTTTTGTTTTAATATTTCTTTCCTTAGGTTTACAAATTGCCATTTTCGGCTTTAGTTGTTCTTTATTCAAGCAAATACATCAGGAAAATAAGGATAATGCTGTACTTCAATTATCCGATCCTTTAGCAGATAGATCTTTTATTTGAATTGCTGAGAAAAATGGCATTTTAACATTCATATATTTGTTTATTTATTTCGATTCTATATATAAAGTATTTTATGACTTATTTATACTTATTTATACCAAATTATATTAAATAATTTTCTAATTTTAAATTTTTAATTAATTTGACTATTGTCAGTATTAGTACGATTATGACCTAGGCAACTTTTTGTTTAATTCCAAGGTGACGGATCGAACTTAGAGCTTGCTACACCATTCTGAACAGGGCCCAAATTATGGCATACGATATCGATCGAAATCCCCATTTAGATTCTATTAAGATTCGATCGATATCGTATGCCGTAATTTGGGCCCAGATTTAAAACTATTTTAGTTTCCTCAATAGAAGAAGAATTTTTTCCCGCAGATGAAGAAGTGAGAGTAGTTAGTTAGTTGTGTAGTTAGTTAGTTAGTAGTTAGTTAGTTAGTTAGTTAGTTAGTGTAGTTAGTTAGTTTAGTTAGTTAGTTAGTTAGTTAGTTAGTTAGTTAGTTAGTTGTTAGTTAGTTAGTTAGTTAGTTAGTTAGTTAGTTAGTTAGTTAGTTAGTTAGTTAGTTAGTAGTTAGTTAGTTAGTTCGTTAGTTAGTTAGTTAGTTAGTTAGTTAGTTAGTTAGTTAGTTAGTTAGTTAGTTAGTTAGTTAGTTAGTTAGTTAGTTAGTTAGTTAGTTAGTTAGTTAGTTAGTTAGTTAGTAGTTAGTTAGTTAGTTAGTTAGTTAGTTAGTTAGTTAGTTAGTTAGTTAGTTAGTTAGTAGTTAGTTAGTTAGTTAGTTAGTTAGTTAGTAGTTAGTTAGTTAGTTAGTTAGTTAGTTAGTTAGTTAGTTAGTTAGTTAGTTAGTTAGTTAGTTAGTTAGTTAGTAGTTAGTTAGTAGTTAGTTAGTTAGTTAGTTAGTTAGTTGTTAGTTAGTTAGTTAGTTAGTTAGTTAGTTAGTAGTAGTTAGTTAGTTAGTAGTTAGTTAGTTAGTTAGTTAGTTAGTTAGTTAGTAGTTAGTAGTTAGTAGTAGTTAGTTAGTTAGTTAGTTAGTAGTTAGTTAGTTAGTAGTAGTTAGTTAGTTAGTTAGTTAGTTAGTTAGTTAGTTAGTTAGTTAGTTAGTAGTTAGTTAGTTAGTTAGTTAGTTAGGTTAGTTAGTTAGTTAGTTAGTTAGTTAGTTAGTTAGTTAGTTAGTTAGTTAGTTAGTTAGTTAGTTAGTTAGTTAGTTAGTTAGTTAGTAGTTAGTTAGTTAGTAGTTAGTTAGTTAGTTAGTTAGTTAGTTAGTTAGTTAGTTAGTTAGTTAGTTAGTTAGTAGTTAGTTAGTTAGTTAGTAGTTAGTTAGTTAGTTAGTTAGTTAGTTAGTTAGTTAGTTAGTGTAGTTAGTTAGTTAGTTAGTTAGTTAGTTAGTAGTTAGTTAGTTAGTTAGTTAGTTAGTTAGTTAGTTAGTTAGTTAGTTAGTTAGTTAGTTAGTTAGTTAGTTAGTTAGTTAGTTAGTTAGTTAGTTAGTTAGTTAGTTAGTTAGTTAGTTAGTTAGTTAGTTAGTTAGTTAGTTAGTTAGTTAGTTAGTTAGTTAGTTAGTTAGTTAGTTAGTTAGTTAGTTAGTTAGTTAGTTAGTTAGTTAGTTAGTTAGTTAGTTAGTTAGTTAGTTAGTTAGTTAGTTAGTTAGTTAGTTAGTTAGTTAGTTAGTTAGTTAGTTAGTTAGTTAGTTAGTTAGTTAGTTAGTTAGTTAGTTAGTTAGTTAGTTAGTTAGTTAGTTAGTTAGTAGTTAGTTAGTTAGTTAGTTATTTGCATATGATGTAGTGTACAACAAATTCTCGAAAAACTCACTCAATTAGCAAGGGAGCGGAATAACGATATACATCTCTTGACATTCATACAATATTTTGCTGGGATGCAATGGCGCCAGCTCGTAGCGCATTCAAATGTTGGTTTTTAAAATGCGCTATATTCTCTCTTTTTACAGCCATATGTTTATAATTTTTATAGTTTTTTTTTTAATAAAATTTCAAATTCAGTCAATAGTTTTAGCAGTTCAAAAACATTGTTGCACCTATCTACTTCAAACTATTTGTTTTAATTTGCGTTTTATTTTAAAAGATAACTTAAAGAAAAATCTAAATATTTGCAATATTTGGACAAATTTCTGTAAATAAACTAAAGCAAAAATACTTATATGTATATGCATATACTTAAAGATGTGGTGTTGTAGTCGGAATACCACTGGCATTATCATTGGATCGATTTACATTGCAGCCTGTATAATCTATTTGATTTTCAATAGTATGGAATATGATAAAACTTTTATTGAATTTTTGAAATCGGAAGGTAAGTTAGAAAAGGATAGTTACATTTCGACTACACAAAATAATTCTCTTAACATTTCAAAACCCTATTTTCTAATAATAAGTATGTATGTAAACAAAATCTTCAACAGCTATAAAATCAATCATAACATGTTCGGTGATTATTTTAATATCAGCTTTATATATAGTGGCCATTGTTAAGGTAAGATAACACTTCTAGCACAAACTTTTGCATTCGTAGTACATTAATTCAAATATTTACAGAGATATCAGTACTTGATAATACCGTGGCTTATACTTGGCATCTTTATTTTCTTCATCACCTGTATTAACGTCTACTTTTTGCATTTTGATTTTAGTTTTGATTCGTTTTTTCTATTAATAATACTGTTGATATTTGGTATAAAACGAATTTTCCTTTTTTTAAGTTCGTTTTTTTTATATAAATTTCCCATTTCTTTTAAACAGGTATACAAATTGCAATTTTCGTCTTTAGTGTTTCATTGTTTAAGGAAATACATGAAGAAAATAATATAGAAACGAATCAGACGAATGAATCCATGGATCGAATGGCAGACAAAGATTTGCTTTGACTATATATTCCACAGATAAAGATTAAATTTTAATCGCTGGACTAATTTTACATTTTCTTAAATTTAATATAAATTAAATATAAAAAAACATATTTATATAAAATTAATAAAAATAAAATATAAAAAAAATTATTGATTTGATTACGAAATAGGGATTTGTAAAAACTTGAAACCAATTTGACGGACTTTAAAGTCTTTTTAGCTGCTGTAACTGAATCTAATATCTATTTTTCTAGTTCAGTTCTAGATCAGTTTGTAGTTCAGTTCTAGTTCAGTTCTAGTTCAGTTCTAGTTCAGTTCTAGTTCAGTTCTAGTTCAATTCTAGTTCAATTCTAGTTCAGTTCTAGTTCAGTTCTAGTTCAGTTCTAGTTCAGTTCTAGTTCTAGTTCAGTTCTAGTTCAGTTCTAGTTCAGTTCTAGTTCAGTTCTAGTTCAGTTCTAGTTCAGTTCTAGTTCAGTTCTAGTTCAGTTCTAGTTCAGTTCTAGTTCAGTTCTAGTTCAGTTCTAGTTCAGTTCTAGTTCAGTTCTAGTTCAGTTCTAGTTCAGTTCTAGTTCAGTTCTAGTTCAGTTCTAGTTCAGTCTAGTTCAGTTCTAGTTCAGTTCTAGTTCAGTTCTAGTTCAGTTCTAGTTCAGTTCTAGTTCAGTAGTTCAGTAGTTCAGTTCTAGTTCAGTTCTAGTTCAGTTCTAGTTCAGTTCTAGTTCAGTTCTAGTTCAGTTCTAGTTCAGTTCTAGTTCAGTTCTAGTTCAGTTCTAGTTCAGTTCTAGTTCAGTTCTAGTTCAGTTCTAGTTCAGTTCTAGTTCAGTTCTAGTTCAGTTCTAGTTCAGTTCTAGTTCAGTTCTAGTTCAGTTCTAGTTCAGTTCTAGTTCAGTCTAGTTCAGTTCTAGTTCAGTTCTAGTTCAGTTCTAGTTCAGTTCTAGTTCAGTTCTAGTTCAGTTCTAGTTCAGTTCTAGTTCAGTTCTAGTTCAGTTCTAGTTCAGTTCTAGTTCAGTTCTAGTTCAGTTCTAGTTCAGTTCTAGTTCAGTTCTAGTTCAGTTCTAGTTCAGTTCTAGTTCAGTTCTAGTTCAGTTCTAGTTCAGTTCTAGTTCAGTTCTAGTTCAGTTCTATTCTAGTTCAGTTCTAGTTCAGTTCTAGTTCAGTTCTAGTTCAGTTCTAGTTCAGTTCTAGTTCAGTTCTAGTTCAGTTCTAGTTCAGTTCTAGTTCAGTTCTAGTTCAGTTTAGTTCAGTTCTAGTTCAATTCTAGTTCAGTTTTAGTTCAGTTCTAGTTCAATTCTAGTTCAGTTCCAGTTCAGTTCTAGTTCAGTTCCAGTTCAGTTCCAGTTCAGTAGTTCAGTTCTAGTTCAGTTCTAGTTCAGTTCTAGTTCAGTTAGTTCAGTTCTAGTTCAGTTCTAGTTCAGTACTAGTTCAGTTCTAGTTCAGTTCTAGTTCAGTTCTAGTTTAGTTCTAGTTCAGTTCTAGTTCAGTTTAGTTAGTTCAGTTCTAGTTCAGTTCTAGTTCAGTTCTAGTTCAGTTCTAGTTCAGTTCTAGTTCAGTTCTAGTTCAGTTCTAGTTCAGTTCTAGTTCAGTTCTAGTTCAGTTCTAGTTCAGTTTTCAGTTTAGTTTAGTTCAGTTCTAGTTCAGTTCTAGTTCAGTTCTAGTTCAGTTCTAGTTCAGTTCTAGTTCAGTTCTAGTTAGTTTTAGTTCAGTTCTAGTTCAGTTCTAGTTCAGTTCTAGTTCAGTTCTAGTTCAGTTCTAGTTCAGTTCTAGTTCAGTTCTAGTTCAGTTCTAGTTCAGTTCTAGTTCAGTTCTAGTTCAGTTCTAGTTCAGTTCTAGTTCAGTTCTAGTTCAGTTCTAGTTCAGTTCTAGTTCAGTTCTAGTTCAGTTCTAGTTCAGTTCTAGTTCAGTTCTAGTTCAGTTCTAGTTCAGTTCTAGTTCAGTTCTAGTTCAGTTCTAGTTCAGTTCTAGTTCAGTTCTAGTTCAGTTCTAGTTCAGTTCTAGTTCAGTTCTAGTTCATTTCTAGTTCAGTTCAGATAACTCTAAATCGGCTTCTTTGTCTATATATATATGCTTTATGGACACGCAGAATCAAATTATAGAAAATGCAAACGGCACCTATGTTGTAGTAGGTGGTTCAAAAACCCCGAATTTTAAGTTGTATGAGTCTTGTAATAAATGAACGTTATATGTATTTATAAAGTATACTTGTTATAAACTTTTGTTTATAATTTTACTTCATTAGTTATGATTATGAATCACATCACATTAATATTTTATTTGTTTTTATTCATAATTGTTGTGAATTCAAAATTGTATTATTTAAGTGAAAAACATTGTTATCAAGAGATCAAAATTTATAGCTAAATTAACATAAGTTCAGTTGCGAGCTATGCCTTTACAAATATTCCTAAATCGTCAAAACTACTTTGGCATTGGAAGTTTATGCGCTGCAAATTTTTCCACATTATGATGACGTATTTGACTATATAATATGTAACTGGTCCAAAATACAGCCATTTGTATACCTAAGGAGACATAAAACTAAAAATTTATATTTTGTATAATTTAGCCCATTAACCTACCAATTACCCACAAACATATAATGTATAATATTGTCGTGGATATATTAACATCGGAAGCATTATATCGTTCGGCTTTTAAGCATGACATAAATAACAATTTACTGCTGTAGTAGAAATCGAAAATGTAGGGTAGCAGACCGGGAAGCATAAAGGTGTGATATTTCTATAAAAAAATTTAACTAGAAAACTGATTAGCGTGATTTTTTTAACATTCAAACTCACCTTTTTTATGGCCACTATATAGAGACCCGATATTAAGGCCGAAATCAAACATAGACCTGTTTCGATAGCTATAAATGATGTTTTAAAAATTATATTTATATTATTTAACATTTTTAATAAACTACTATTGTTAAATATTGGACCACATTTTTATATCAAAATATAGGATATCATTCTGAAAATTATATCACTCACTTGCCAATATAAATCTTCTTCTATGCTTTAAATCTTCATTTCCATTGATCAATAGATAAACATTATAAATCAATATTATTACATTGATCGTAATATATATGACTCCAATAATAATACCCGATTTATAATGACTACAGCAATAAGGCCTCAACAGCATTATAAAACTTTTAATTACTCCTTTTTTATATAATACATGAATTTTTTAAAGTATAATAGACTTTATTGAGTTGAAGACTAAGAACTGTTTTATAAAAAAATATATATATAATTTCTTGTTTAAATCGATTAAGAATTTGCTAAGGACAACCTATTTCTATTTCTTCATGCGAACTATTTCTTCATGCGAACTGATTAATATTAATTACGGTTAGTCAGACACTCTAGTAAATGCATACTTGATTAATAAAGTGATATTCAGAATATCGAGGCGCACGATTCGTACTGACATGACCACAATATTAAACAGAAGAAAATAATCTCTCTCAAGATATTTGTAGCCAACTTTGATAAAAGCGATGACAGAGAAACAGCTTCAGCGTTTCACTGTCCCTTAAATGTGTGTGTCCGCTAAGAATTCGTAGCATCATACTTAACTCTGACTATTTCATTCTGTTTTGTTAAAAGAAAAAAGAGGCCCACCTAATGTTTATAGCTGATACAGTCACAAATTCTTGCCGAGATAAATTTAATGTTAGAATGTTTTCACAACAAAGAAATACAATTGATACCGCACAATATAAAAACAAATCGGTACTCTCTTATAAAAGAGACCTACATATTTTCTACATAATTTTTTACAATTGACCCTCTTGAGTTCTTCTTTATACCCTACACAACTTTAGTGGGGAGGGTATATTGGGTTTGTACTGATGTTTGTAACATACAAATATATTCGTCCTATACCCACCTTAAAGTATACCAATCGGCTTAGAATCGTTTTCTGAGTCGATTTAGCTATGTCCGTCTGTCCGTCTGGCCATGTGAACCTTGTGCGCAAGGTACAGGTCGCAATTTTCAAGATTTTCTGACCCAAGGACGAAGCTTATAGAAAATGATTAAAATCGGTCCATTATTTCACCTAGACCTCATACAGCAGAACCCCCCGAAAAGGGCTTCTGAGATCATAATTATGTTAAATATACCTGTATATCGATAAAAAGCGGCACAAATAAGTTTTATACAAGCTTTGATGACCTTGCCAAATTTCATAAAGATCGGGCCATCCATAAATTGCTGAAATGTTAGTTAGTTAGTTAGTTAGTTAGTTAGTTAGATAGTTAGTTAGTTAGTTAGTTAGTTAGTTAGTTAGTTAGTTAGTCAGTTAGTTAGTTAGTTAGTTAGTTAGTTAGTTAGTTAGTTAGTTAGTTAGTTAGTTAGTTAGTTAGTTAGTAGTTAGTAGTTAGTTAGTTAGTTAGTTAGTTAGTTAGTTAGTTAGTTAGTTAGTTAGTTAGTTAGTTAGTTAGTTAGTTAGTTAGTTAGTTAGTTAGTTAGTTAGTTAGTTAGTTAGTTAGTTAGTTAGTTAGTTAGTTAGTTAGTTAGTAGTTAGTTAGTTAGTTAGTTAGTTAGTTAGTTAGTTAGTTAGTAGTTAGTTTAGTTAGTTAGTTAGTTAGTTAGTTAGTTAGTTAGTTAGTTAGTTAGTTAGTTAGTTTAGTTAGTTAGTTAGTTAGTTAGTTAGTTAGTTAGTTAGTAGTTGTAGTTAGTAGTTAGTTAGTTAGTTAGTTAGTTAGTAGTTAGTTAGTTAGTTAGTTAGTTAGTTAGTTAGTTAGTTAGTTAGTTAGTTAGTAGTTAGTTAGTTAGTTAGTAGTTAGTTAGTTAGTTAGTTAGTTAGTTAGTTAGTTAGTTAGTTAGTTAGGTAGTTAGTTAGTTAGTTAGTAGTTAGTAGTTAGTAGTCGTTAGTTAGTTAGTTAGTTAGTAGTTAGTTAGTTTAGTAGTTAGTTAGTAGTGTTAGTTAGTTAGTTAGTTAGTTAGTTAGTTAGTTAGTTAGTTAGTTAGTTAGTTAGTTAGTTAGTTAGTTAGTTAGTTAGTTAGTTAGTTAGTTAGTAGTTAGTTAGTTAGTTAGTTAGTAGTTAGTTAGTTAGTTAGTAGTTAGTTAGTTAGTAGTTAGTTAGTTAGTTAGTTAGTTAGTAGTTAGTTAGTTAGTTAGTTAGTTAGTAGTTAGTTAGTTAGTAGTTAGTTAGTTAGTTAGTTAGTTAGTTAGTTAGTTAGTTAGTAGTTAGTTAGTTAGTTAGTTAGTTAGTTAGTTAGTAGTTAGTTAGTTAGTTAGTTAGTTAGTTAGTTAGTTAGTAGTTAGTTAGTTAGTTAGTTAGTTAGTTAGTAGTTAGTTAGTTAGTTAGTTAGTTAGTTAGTTAGTTAGTTAGTTAGTTGGTTATAATTGTTTGTTGTTGTAAGCAACAGTAATAACACCCTTCGCAAATGGTGTAGGGTAAATACCAATTCTAACAGCAATATTGAAATAATATGACAAGATTTGTGATACTAACACTCACTTCATTCTCACTATTTCGTTCACTCAATGACAAAGTTTCTCTCTTCCCTGTTTTCTATTAATGAAGAATAAATAAACAAAAAAACTGTCAAAACAGTTGACAGATTTAGGAGCAAGGAAAGTTTAGTTTGGCCAATCTGTTTACCGAAAGAGATCCTACAAGTATTATTGTGTTTAATCTTAAATATTAAAAATATAACGAAAATACTGCCAAAAAAAAATTAAAAAATGAAGTGTTCCTGTAATCGTTATACACTTGGTATTATTCTAGGCGGCATTAATGTAGCGATCAGCTCCGTTATTTTAATTTTACAATGCATTTATTTAAATGATTATAAAGAAATCGAAGATCCAGATTTACAGAAAAAATCAAGAAATAAAGGTAAGTTAAAAAAGAGAAAGAAATGTATATAAAAACAATAAGAACTATTAACTATTTGTGTATTTCGAAATTATTTTAATTCAAATGATGTCTGTTCTATATGGAGCTACATATGTATGTACAAAGTATATATGTCTGTTTGTTATATACTTCCAAACCACAATGTTCAATGTTTGGCTAAAAATAAATTGCATCATCCTATACACATTGTGTGTATATGTTTTTATTAGTTTTTTTTTTATCAAGTTCTAAGCAATTTTAGACATTTTATTTGTTGTTATTTTTTCGTCCCAAACATTTTTGAACTTGAATATTTGATTCTTTATGACGCGTCATGACGTCACATAAAAATTTTCGTTTATATTTTTTTTGGTCGGCCTTGACTTTATTTTGTTTATTGCAAATATTGTCTGAGAGTGTGATAAAATTGTATCTCAAAAATAACAACGTTTGAGATCAGGTATGGAAAAGTAAAATTTAAAAATAGTACTAATTTATATACAACAAAAATATTTTTAGGGTTTAAAGACTAACCTAATTTTTGCTAGACTGGACTATTAACAATACTGTAGACTAGACTATAGACTAGACTATAGACTAGACTATAGACTAGACTATAGACTAGACTATAGACTAGACTATAGACTAGACTATAGACTAGACTATAGACTAGACTATAGACTAGACTATAGACTAGACTATAGACTAGACTATAGACTAGACTATAGACTAGACTATAGACTAGACTATAGACTAGACTATAGACTAGACTATAGACTAGACTATAGACTAGACTATAGACTAGACTATAGACTAGACTATAGACTAGACTATAGACTAGACTATAGACTAGACTATAGACTAGACTATAGACTAGACTATAGACTAGACTATAGACTAGACTATAGACTAGACTATAGACTAGACTATAGACTAGACTATAGACTAGACTATAGACTAGACTATAGACTAGACTATAGACTAGACTATAGACTAGACTATAGACTAGACTATAGACTAGACTATAGACTAGACTATAGACTAGACTATAGACTAGACTATAGACTAGACTATAGACTAGACTATAGACTAGACTATAGACTAGACTATAGACTAGACTATAGACTAGACTATAGACTAGACTATAGACTAGACTATAGACTAGACTATAGACTAGACTATAGACTAGACTATAGACTAGACTATAGACTAGACTATAGACTAGACTATAGACTAGACTATAGACTAGACTATAGACTAGACTATAGACTAGACTATAGACTAGACTATAGACTAGACTATAGACTAGACTATAGACTAGACTATAGACTAGACTATAGACTAGACTATAGACTAGACTATGGACTAGACTATAGACTAGACTATAGACTAGACTATGGACTAGACTATAGACTAGACTATAGACTAGACTATAGACTAGACTATAGACTAGACTATAGACTAGACTATAGACTAGACTATAGACTAGACTATAGACTAGACTATAGACTAGACTATAGACTAGACTATAGACTAGACTATAGACTAGACTATAGACTAGACTATAGACTAGACTATAGACTAGACTATAGACTAGACTATAGACTAGACTATAGACTAGACTATAGACTAGACTATAGACTAGACTATAGACTAGACTATAGACTAGACTATAGACTAGACTATAGACTAGACTATAGACTAGACTATAGACTAGACTATAGACTAGACTATAGACTAGACTATAGACTAGTCTATAGACTAGACTATAGACTAGACTACAGACTAGACTATAGACTAGACTATAGACTAGACAATAGACTAGACTATAGACTAGACAATAGACTAGACTATGGACTAGACTAGACTATGGACTAGACTAGTCTATAGACTATTCTAGGCTATAGACTAGTCTAAAGAGTAGATTATAGACTAGACTATAAACTAGACTATAGACTAGACTATAAACTAGACTATAGACTAGATTTTAGACTAGACTACAGACTAGACTTGTTTACAATGGGAATTAAAATTAAGCAAATTATTTTATTTTTCTTTCTTAATTTTCAACAGCTATCATAATATTGATACTATGTTTGATAACGGTAGTAATTGCTGGCCTCTTCATATATGGAATCGTAAAGGTAAATATAAAAATAAGCACCAATTAGCACACTTTGACAAAAGTAACAAAAACTCTTTAACATTTCTAGAGAAAATACAAATTAGCTTATCCCTGGTTAATTTTTTGTGCAGCCAGTGTATTCGCCACCCTTAAACAGGTGGTATATGCAATTATTGACTCGGCTAAGGGTAGAATTTCAGGGGAAGAAACTGCTGCGAGAATTACAATATTTTTGCTAATTACAGGTAAATTTGCAAAAAGATTTAAAACAATAAATTTTATTGTTTTTTTTCTCGCTCATTCTAGTTTTTGAAAGCGTCATTTACTGGTTTAGTTTATCCGTGTATAGAAAACTACGTAATGAAGAAAAATCTGCTGATATACCGATGGCTTATCAAACGGATTATACCTCAGTGCCAAATAGTGTTTAAATACAAAACTATTTTTTTTTTTTTCATTTTTTAAGATTTTTTTATTTTGTATATAAATAAAAAATTTTATATAAAATATTTAATAGATCAACCAGATACAATTTTTTATTAAATATAGAAAATGTCTGACTATGTTTTCTATAGAAAATCAGTTTATTTTTTGGAAACTTTTCTATAGAAAAGGTCGTTCCGATTCTGACAGATTTTCTAAAGAAAATTTGTTCAGATTCTGACAACTTTCTATAGCAAAAGTTTTTCAGATTCTGACAACTTTCTAGAACTGAACTAGAACTGAACTAGAACTGAACTAGAACTGAACTAGAACTGAACTAGAACTGAACTAGAACTGAACTAGAACTGAACTAGAACTGAACTAGAACTGAACTAGAACTGAACTAGAACTGAACTAGAACTGAACTAGAACTGAACTAGAACTGAACTAGAACTGAACTAGAACTGAACTAGAACTGAACTAGAGCTGAACTAGAACTGAACTAGAACTGAACTAGAACTGAACTAGAACTGAACTAGAACTGAACTAGAACTGAACTAGAACTGAACTAGAACTGAACTAGAACTGAACTAGAACTGAACTAGAACTGAACTAGAACTGAACTAGAACTGAACTAGAACTGAACTAGAACTGAACTAGAAATGAACTAGAACTGAACTAGAAATGAACTAGAACTGAACTAGAACCATTCAG